CCAACCTGACGGGGGGTGTGAGAGAAAGAGAAGTTGTTAGCTAGAGCAGCTGGGGTTGCTGAGTCTTCTGGACGAATCCAGCTCTCAGTCAAGCCCAAGATGCTGAGTGTGGATTGTAAAGAAAAAGCAGAAATGAAGTCAGCTTTGTTGACAGCTGACTGACGATTCCAGAGACCCACAGAGAAAGAAAGAGGTGCAGTAGGAGATGTAGAGATAGGACGCAGGTTAGCAAGATTGCGTTGCCGTCTGCGAGTGATGGTAGAGTGTTGTTGAGAGACAACCGGAATGTATTGAAAACACATGATAGAGGTGGAAGGGAGAGGACAGAAAGGAGTGTGCAAAGGGAAAAAAGAGAGCATTTAAGTGTGTTGCCGGTTTCGATGCTCAGTTAAAGTCGCGCAGGTAAAGTCGCAGGTCTTTACACTCGTAGGTCTTCACACGAGGGCTGAACGCTTCCGCTGACAGACAACAAACAAATACACAGCTACCCGACACTTCAGAGAAAACAGCTGTGGCCGCCTTGTTAAATTAGCACACCCAAAATCCTATATCAGGGCAATTGCTCAAATCGAAACTAAAGTTCGCACTTAAGTGCAGGAACGAAGCAATATAAATAACAAAAGCTCCTTCTTAGCCGACGGCTATTACTCTAATTACAAATAAAGTGCAATCAAAAGTGCACTGTGCTCTGTGCTCACATTTACTTGTGCATTAAATTACAAATAAAAAAAATACATATCAGCTTGTGCCTTATGTGATCTCAAATTGCAGAATATTCTAGTGCATTTGAGAGACGTTCTATAAAGTGATGCATAGACATGCATGTACAGTTTGCAGCTTTAATCGCCTTTTTGTTAATTTCATGACTTAACTGATGACAGAACTTCACTGAACGCTCATAGTTTCTTTTGCGCTTTATTTATGATTAAGCGATGCGTGCTCGTCATTTTCGCGTAAAGTTGAAGAGTGTGCACCGTGAGCACAGTAAAACGGCTGACAGGACAGGGAAGTTTGTTTCACATATAGCCTAATAATATCTCATCAGACCGCAGTTCACTGTTGTTCTACTGAAGCTTATCTGGCACATTTTCCGCGCTCGTTTGACTCGCGCCTGGCACCGATGTGGAGTTGAAGTGCACATCTGAAAAGTCTCCCGTTTGATGTGGATGCAAAGAAATACGGCTGTTCTGCATCTTCATAAATTCATTACTTGTCGAGAAAAAAAGCGACAAAAACTGCAGTTTTGAGTGGGGTGGCCAAAGGGGTGGTCAAGCTTAGGTCAGT